ATATGGGATCTTTTGGGCTAAGTGGAGCATTGGCCCAAGTAGAAAGGCACCTAGGTTGCATACTCCCATCATGCACCTAGATGTAGCTTAACTTAACCCAAAAAGATGCCATTTTTAGGGTTGCATGTATGGCACCTTTACGGTGGCATGTAGGTGTCATTTGAGTGCATTTCCTTCTCATTTTGAGGTGGGAATGATCATCCAATGATGACCTAGATGTCACACCTCCCTAGGGTTATGACGTCACTCATCACTTATAAATACCCTAGCGAGCACCTCTTATTAACACTTTGGATATTGAATATAGAGAGAGCCTTGTGCCTTTATATTTTTCCTTAGTCTCCCTTGGCTAATTTTCGGCCAAACCCTACCTATCTCCATCTTGAGAGAAAAATCCTAGAAGTGGCCTTCATCACCCATGGAGTGAGCCAAACCCTAGAGTGCCTTCTCAAGCCTTTCATCAAACACCTTCACCTCACCATCCATTTTCGGTCTCCATTCTAAAAACACGCCTAACCTTGAAGAGCTTTGATCCAAGGAGTTAATGAGTCCTTCTCATTGATCAACATTCCTCCATCAATGCTAGTAAGGATCCCATCAATAGGATCATCAATCTAAGTTGGTCAAAGACTTGCATCTTCATCAGACTACGATTGATACCAAATACCAGATTACAATTGTATGGATGAGGACCAAAGTCTTCGCCAAACGCAATCAAATGAAACAATTGAGATGGTCAGTTCTTTAGTAGATAGATTGATGGAAACATACCATGGCTAAGGAGACCAAGAGGTGATACATTAAAGGAACCAAGAGGAATGGGATGATTTTGAAGACCTTCCATATGTTTGTAAATATAGTAGTTACTTGTATAGGTTTATTTTGCCTTTGTATTTGTGAGGCAATTTATTTCCTTTTTATAGACCAATGTATTGTGAATTTAGGGTAGGTTCTTTAGAGACTTTTACTCCATTTTACCTTATATTAAAGGTCACCCATTTTACATTTTTTCAGTAGTAGAAGTGGGGTAACAAATAGCAAGGCATGAGGGTATGACTAGTAATTGGGCTAGAGTTGGGCCTAGGCCAAATTTTACATATTGGACTTGTTTTGCTCCATATTTTTCAAGGAATTGATTTAGCTAGGTCTCACCATCATTGGTTGAACCTAACTAAACCAATTCCAAATTATTTGGATTGGTCACATGGAGCAAAACTAGCCAAGGCCGCCCACTCCCTCCTTTGGCCGAATTGGCTTTTTAGCCTTGGTGCCTTGGGAAGCTTGTGCTACAAGCTTCTAACTTAGCTTGCTTCCCAAGCAATATAAGATAGAAGCTTGCTCCACAAGCCTCCTAAACTAAGGTGGACGGTCAAGTTAAGCCAACCATGGTTCTTTTGAACCATGGTTAAGCTTAGCTTTCTCCACAAGCTACCTACGTCTATAAATTCCTAAACCTCACTCTTGTACACACTTTTGGATTAATGAAATCAGAATTTTCTCAAATTCTCTCCTCCAAGAGTCTTCAAAACCGTGGAGAATCATCTTATCCTTAAGAACTCGACAAAGGAATTCCTCCTTTGTGCTTGGTTCCTCAAGTTTCTTCCTCTTCAAGGAAGAACCGAACCACCTTAAGTGCTTCTCAAGCCTTGGAGCTTGGATCTTTGTCTCCGCTATTGGTGTTTGGATACCTCAAGAGAAGAAAGGGAACTTGAAGATGGAGAGTAAAGGAGTTTGTCATCCACTTCTTCTACTTCATTCCATCATTTTTGGTATCTAGAGCCTTGTTGCTCTCAAGGTTATGTTTTCTTATCTCTTGTAATTGATTCGGTCATGTCTTGATTCCTTACATGTCTTGTTTAGTTTGCTGTGTAGATCTAGTTTTTCTACATATATTGATGGATCCTTATGTCTCATGTGTTGATTGGTTCATTTTTTTGCTTGTTTCCTAATTCCTTGAACCAAATCCGTGTGCTATAGGTTCATTGTTGATGGAAAACTTGTTGAGAAACCGGATTGATGTTGATTCCTCTTCAATCTCCTCCCTAGATCTTTGGCTCCTTGATTATTCTTAAGCTTCTCTAAGGTCTCCAATGGAGGAAGAGACCTTAGAACCACCACGGTTTGGTCGAGAACTCTCCCAAGAGACGCCACTCCTTGCAAAAGAGATAAGTCTCTTCAATTCTCACCACACTCTTCTAGTGAAGGGATAAGAGAATTGGATGAATATCAAAGAGGTTTGGGACTTTTAGAAGAGAGAAATCTTAACCAATTTCGAAAATATCTCTCAATATATGCCAAAAGTGTAGAAAGGGTTTTTCAAAGGATTTTACTAATACAAATAATCGATTATTTGTATAGATAATCGATTATTTGCGCAACCTTTGGTTTTCCAAATGATTTTTGAACGGTTTTATTCGTGCCAACCTGCAACTTCCCACTACTCTTCGTAAGTGGAACCTCTCCTCTACCCCAATCCGGTGCTAGGGCTTTTAAAACACCTAAACCTTCTTGTAGACACCCAATTTCGTCCGGGGGCATATAAACAAAGAAATGGACATCTATCATCAAAGAAATGGAGCTCCCGAGTATGGAAATAACAAGTAAGGACATCAGAGGGCCCTAAGGCCCAAATCAACTATTCTTAGTGGCCCGGAACGGGCCGTTCCAAAATCAGAACGGGCCGTTCCCAAGTCTGGAACGGGCCGTTCTTGAATTGGAAAGACAGGCGTACGCGAAAGGTCACTGCCCCCTGTCGAGCTCGGTCTCAACTCCTCGACCCGCGGTCTTCGGAGCTCGGGGGGCTAGTGTACTATCCGTACCGCTATGCCGAGCTCGAGCTCGACATCATAACGCGAGTTAACCTCGGACACGTGCTAAGCTACGTCAGCTCGACATCCAAATAGGTCATAACTGATCTAAGGCCCAAGGCCCATCAAAACCCTAATCCACACAAAGGTACGTGCATTACTTATACGAGACTTATACACCCACAAACACTAACTTTAGCATCGGAGTCGCTTTTGCAGGTACCACCCCCATCTTGGAACATCAAACGTACCAGTGAAGGAGGCTCGCGATCTTACCCAGCAGATCGTCCCCTACGACCGATCTCCGGTAAGAACAATCTCTATTCATAAATTCTAAACCCTTTATGTTGTACAAGTGATAGAAGATACAAACACAAAAATAATGTAGTAGAAGTTATATAATTTTTTTTTGTCAATGTAACATTAATCTTTATTTTTTTAAGTTAATTTACGTATGCTATTAGTGTATAATATTATTAGAGTATGTGTAACAGTATAATTATGTGAAGTTGCATAATGTTTTTAGTAGGTTCTTGTACAATGTTACATGAGATTTATGGATTATAATATATATTTTTTCCAATGATGCAATATTTAAGAACATAAAATGAGTTTTGTGTTTGCTTCACAATTTGTTAAGTAGTATTGTTGATATAAGTAACTGTTGCATAGATGGAACTGTCACATCAATGGCTCTAATAGTGAAACAAGGGCAGATGTAAACCGAGGTAACTCATGAATCATGATAGCTACTCTCTACATGTAATGACAAATCTCTTATGGTAGGAAATCAATATATCATTTATTGTTCTAATAATGTTCCACTCCACGACCATCACCGAAGGAGAGGAGAAAGACCTACCTTACTTCCACAATCTAAACACGACTCCTCCTTTTGGTTTGTATAGATAATCCTTTTCCAAAACAATTATCTTCAAAATTGGTTTTAATCCTATAGTCTTTCCATTTTTTTTTGGCACTTTGATTAAACTATCGCACCAATCCAATCGAGAAAAAAAAAATCCTTGTTATATTTAATTAAACAGTTTCCAATTTCCATAAACCCAAGGCTAAACCAATTTCAATGCTAGAATTGGCGATCATTTGGAATTGGAAGGGGAAAGAGAATCCCAATGCCAATGCCAATGCCAATGCCAATTTCAATGTCACTAACACTATCATCGATTCAACCAAAGCCTCACTCACTCTCTTTCCTCAACTTATCCCTAAACCGCCACAACCACATCCCGCCAAAACCCGCGTCCCTCCGAATCCACAGCGCCGCCAAAGCCCAAACCCTCCAATTCCTGAAACCCTACATCGCGGCCCAACACAGGCCCATCCTCTGCGGCTGGCTCTGCAGCGCCGTCTCCGTCTACTCCCTC